GGGGGGGGGGGGGGGGGGGGGGGGGGGGGGGGGTTTCTCAGAAAGCATGGATTCCATCACTATTTTCTGTAGTCTCTGGGCTACCTTTTGCCATCCCTCTTCCTTCCCAGAAAATAAAGGGTCATAACTCTAAGAACCAGGAAAGAGTTCTGAGGAGGTCACAGAGGCAGCCCTGCAAATTATCAAGCACCTTCTTCTCCCACATCCTCACCTCTTCTTTCCCTACCAAGCCAACTCCTCTCTTTTCAGCATCAACCCGTTTCCTTTTTTTTTTTATGAGCATTCCCACCAACCCTCAATTTAAAAAAAGAAAAGTCAGCTGGGCTCGGTGGCACAGCCTGTAATCCCGCGCCTTTGGGAGGCTGAGGTGAGTGGATTGCCTGAGCCCGCGGGTTCGAGACCCGCCTGGGCAGCGAGACCTCCTCTCTCCAATAAATCAAAAAATCAGCCCAGCGTGGTAGCGCATGCCTGTAATTCCGGCTACTTGGAAGGCTGAGGCGGAAGGATCGCCGGAGCCCAGCAGGTCGAGGCTGCAGTGGCCGGGAGCGGCCACTGCACTCCAGTCTGGGCGACAGAGTGCGACTCCAACTCAAAAAAAAAAATAATAAAAAAAAGAAAAGTCCTTCTAGCTCTTCCCAACAATACAAAACCCTCTCATATCACTTAATTATTGTTGTTGGGTGAATTATATACTCAACCATAGTTATGTATTGTGGAAGGAAAAATTAGGAAAAACTTGGAAAGCAAGTTGATGAGTCATTATTTTCTTTTAAAATGTCATGCTAAAGTATTTTCTAATTTGACAGTTCTTTCGGGAGACAAACTTGTTTTTTGATAGTCCAGACAATTTACAGTACTATAAAGTTTAAGACAAAATTATGAAAAATTATTATGTGAATTTTTTCTCAATCTACTAGGAAATCTAACTCTAAAGTTTATTGTTTTATTAATCCCTGAGGTATTGTCCAATTTTGTATTTAACTTAGTAATCCTTTCCCAATTAACTATATAAAGTTCTGTTTTTCAAATACTCTAGGAACAAGTGCCCTCTCTCTGCCTATCTCCCTCTCTTCCTCTCCTTCTCTCTGTCTCTCTCTGTCTCTCTCTGTCTCTCTCTCTCTCTCTCTCTCTCTCTCTCTCTCTCTCTCTCTCTGACTCTGTCAGTAATGAATTGCATAAAACCTTGACAAGTGCTAACGAATAACTTTGCCTGAGAATTAGGCTTTTTTATCATCAACCTTTCCATAAGCAAAAAGAGAGAAGATGTCTGGGAATAAAGGAAAAAATTTTTTTAAAAACAAGCAAAAGCACATGTGTTTTTGACATTTTCTTAAACAGTCATTTGGAGAAATAACACCAGAATATGAAATTTAGGGCTTCTAATGAGCTTCTAATAGGCCTTCTCTCCCCTGATAGTGGACCTGTTACCCAATGTGTTGCTGTGGGCCCCTTATTCCTTTCTCCTCCTTCCCTTCTTTAGCAGTACTCAAATTTTCCTAACATCTAAAAGCTAAATGCTTATAGTGTGCTTATAAAGGCTAAATGCTTATAATGCTTGTAAATGCTTATAATGTGACAGACATTTTGCAGGCTTTATCTCATTTTATTTTCATACTACCTGATGAAGAAGATTTTACCTTCAGAATATCATTGAGAAAACAAAGCACTAAAGCAATTAAAACATTTCTTTGGGCCGGGCTTAGTGGCTCATGCCTGCCATCCCAGCACTTTGGGGGAGGCGGGAGGAGCTCTGGAGCCCAGAAAATCAAGGCTGCAGTAAGCTGCGATCATGCCACTGCACTCCAACTTGGATGACAGAGTAAGATTTCAACTAAAAAAGAAAAATATATATAACATATGTATGGTAGATTTAAACCCAGATTGTCTGACTCCAGCATCTATATTCTGAACTACTATGCTATACTCTCAGTAGCTTTAACTAAATTATTGACATAAAAATTCACTGTGAGGACAGGTCTATGTCTATTATCCCTCCAGCTTCCAACAAGTCTCTATGGCACAGCCATCATATGTGGCAATACTCAGCAAGCCACACCAAGATGCCTCCAGAGGAATAGAGAACACTGCCTTCCCAGAGATAAACTACTCAAGACAGACATGCAATAAAAACAATTTGCCACTCAGACATTTCATAGCAGCAAAATAATTCCTAAATTAAAGCATAAAAATAAATAAATATAAATTAAGCACTTCGTCCTCAAAACAAACTTATAAATTATTACATATTTCTTTATTATAGCCTTCAATGTTTTGCAAAAAGATTTTGTTTACAGTAACCGCATCTCAGTCTCTCCTTGAGTTTCTATCCCCAATGTTCAACTTGGTACTTAGCATTGAGAGGTACCAAGTGCCTACTGGACAAACAGCAATCTATACTTGTCTGAATACTAAAAGAAAACTGCCGGGCATGGTGGCTTACACCTGTAATCCCAGCACTTTAGGAGACAGAGGCAAGAGGATTGCCTAAGCCCAGGGGTTCAAGACCAGCCTGGGCAACCTGGTGAGACCTCATCACTACAATAAATCAAAAAAATTAGGAGATTCTCAGGAAGATGGCAGCAGAGCCAGTCAGACTAAGCAAGTCCCAGTAGGAGGGAGTGTATGGGAAATTTTGCATACGTGGGCATGTGAGTGGCTGACTGAGCAGGGACTCAGGAGCAAGTAGTCAGGGCTCTCCTGGTTAAGCGCTGGTGCCACAGCGGCTCTGCTTGGTCCCTAGTGCTTCCCAGGGTGCAGAAGCTGAGCATCATTTTTTAAAAATCAGCAAAGCCCTTCCTGGGAAGAAGCTGCCAGGAGAGACTGCCAGCTCCAGGTTATGCCTCACCACTGCAGCACCTGGCAAGACACTGGCACCAAGGACTGTGGAGGGAGTACAGTGAGAAAGCCAGAGGCAGGGACCCACTGGAGAAGATGAAAGAGGCACCCTGCCACCATCTTGAAAGTGCTCTGGCTTGCTCATCACAGAGCAACAGGCCCAACCCGATCTCTGTGACCAGTGGATTAATTACTCAGGGTTATGACCCCGCCATCCCCCTACTGGGAATATACCCTGAAGAACTCAAATCACTCTATAAAAAAGATACCTGCACATGTATGTTTATCGCAGCGTTGTTCATAATAGCAAGAAC